TAATGTATCTCTTATGATCTCATCTATCGAAAGCCTACCATTACTCCGTGTTATAAGTACTGGTTTTTTCAAGTGTTCTCGAGATGACGTCAAAAACCGTAGGAGAAGGGGCGTTTGTGGGATGGTGAACGATTCACACTAGGTTTTGAACTGTAACAAGGACCAACGAAAGCTCAGCGAGAGATTTTGTAGCTAATCAGAGACATTTTTCGGTGACAATTCAATAAACAAGTAGAAAGTATAAGCAGAGGATTGATAGAAAGAAACGTGAGCCGTGGCAGAAACCGAGCAGAACGTTGTGGAAATGAGCAGCGAGTGGTAAACAAGATAGGGGCGAACGCACTGCACAGTGCAAGTTATCGCCGCAAAATTTACACACTCATGAACCACCATCACAGCTGACAGCACATGATTCTGGCCTCACTGTAGCCAGCGCTATTGCCAGTGCACTTGTAGAATCGTCTGATAACATTTAAAAGATAAAAGTATGTCATAATCAGAAATTATGAAGAACACTACACGTCACCCTTTCCTAACTGGAAACAAAATAAAAATGAGTCACGTGCGGTACACCAATGAGCCCTTTATGCGCCGATTTTTTACACCATTCAGACTCGTGGAGTCTTCTGAATAAGTATTTAGCTCAAGGAAGGCCTTTTTACTCCAACCATGGGTGCTAAAACTCCTTACAAGTATTTCACTCAGTGACGAAGCTGTAGGGATAAGTATTGATGGGTCTAAGCGAATCGTACCTTCTGACAAATCACTTTTGGAGGGCTCTTTCAGTGGACGTTTGTAGTTCAAGACTTTTAACTAAACGAAGGAAGATTAATCGCTAAGCATGATGGTTACACTTAATAGGTAGCCGTGGGTCTACCTATACGCGGATTTGGTTCCAATCGTTATCGCTATATAGCATTCCTTGTCAACGTCCCCAGCGAACGCCTTTCTGTCTTTCATAACGAGCGCCCTTCACCGGAAAAAAGTAAACTGAAAAACCCGCTTGAGAACACTGCTCACGAGTCGTTTACAACCCACTTGGCGACGGGTGATGAAACTCTAAGTTTACTTTGATTGAAAATTTTGCTTAGATCACCTCAATCGGCCTCTTTCGCTATCCCACCTACCATCTTACCGATCTTTTCCATCACTTTAGCTGTTGACCGGATGTGATACAGGCTCTGATAGACTACCAAAAACAAGGCACTTTCTGTAGTTGGGTCGTTGGGGGAAGTTTTTGCAGAATGCGATCCCACCTCTATGCTATCCGCAGTTTCTCTATGATTTCCCACCTTCTCCTTCAAGATTTTCCAGGTTTCTCCAAGATTTTCGAGGGTAGTGATTGTATGGTAGTTCTTCGGCGCACCAACCAGGGAAGGGAGGGGGGCTTGGGGTTCCTCAGCGTACATTTTGCTCGAGCAAAGTAAATCTGCTAGGAGGTTGAACGCGCAAGAAATGGGAAATTCCTCTCATGTGAGACCCTCCCCCTCCCCCCCCTTCCAGCTGCTAATTACGACCCAGCCACCCAGTCGTATTTAGACAATGGTGAGCACTGCTCTAATACGCTGAGGCACACCACATTGGATCATGAATACATAGTGCAGCAGTTTTCTTTGCTCCTGCTTCGTCCACAGCCATGCATATCACAAGCTTCCCCTTTCAATTACCCAGCGGATTACTGAGTAGAATACAATATGCTCTATGTACCTTTATTGTCGTGACTGACGCACGACCGTCCCTGGGGGGCTAATGGGGCGCCGGTAGGAAACCGCGCTCGGGTTGCACTGTCGTCGGTCCTACTACGAAAAGCATGATTCGCGGGGAACCGCGCACACAGTACTATTGTCATCACTTTTAAATCAGTCGTCGTCCTGCGCTCATCATGAGCGGTCGTGCAACCGGTGGACCAGCGCCGCCATTCCTTGTCCCAGTCTAACTTCGGTCCATGGTCTTTGCCTGTCACAACTGATCACTTGCTTCACTACTCCTCTCCTCATCCGTTATCCACAGGTATGCCTTCATCTTATTCATTTGTACACATTAGTATCGATTTACCATTCATCATATGTGTTGTTATTTGACTGTAATGATTTTGTTGATGTTACCATTTACCGTTTTCCTACATGAAGTTGTTGATGATACTCGTGTTATGTCAGTGTAGTCATAGTGGGTAGGTAATGCATGGGTTCATGCTCGTCTTCCACATAGCAAGGGGCAGGCCTTACGCAGCCCGTGGCAGGACCTTTGGGAGCATTCAACGGCGCGACGTCCCCTTGTAGGAGGGTGTGGGACCTTACAAACTATGTAAACCTGATGTAGACCGCTTGCAAGGGACGAGAGCGGTCATTTGCTATAAATTAAGAGATTGTATTCCTCGATTGGTCGCTGGCTCCCTGTGCCCATTGTGGCCTAGACGGAGTGCGCACGTTAGACCCTGCTACGCAACCAACCATCAACAACGAAAACATCATAGAATTCTTTATTAATGAAATCATGAAATCCTTTATAAGTAGCATAAAAATAAATCCTAATTGTTTCATTGTTTCATTGGATCACTAGCTTCGTTTCAGCTGGAACACCAAATCGATGTTTGTGCTCCTCGAACAAGTCGTTCAACTTTCTCGATTATACACCTCGTGCCAGCTCAAACAAGTTCTGTCACATTTGCCGGTTAGATTTCGCGATTTTCCTTACTAGGAATAGTGCCGCCAACCACGGTATTCATTAGGCTTCCGAGTATGGGAAGATAACCAAAATTTGCAGCCGAGAAATACAGTGATTTTGTAGATGAATTTTCGATTATTATTAGAATATGCCAGCAAACAGCGTGGCAAAAGGTTATACAAAATCTTTTAGCACATAAAACCGGCTGATAGACGGCATGTCGCGCCGTTTGTTCATCTCCTGGTCTATTTGCTATGGAAACCTCAACTGAAAAAATCGCCTCGAGAGGCCTGATTTTGTTTGGCATGGGAAAGGCATCGGCGAAGCTGAATTTTGCCACCGACGGGTGGAGCGTGCGTCGAGGTGGGCGGGGGTAATGCCAAAAAGCCGTAACCTTGTTCCAGAAGCAGAGAGGAAAGATGAGTGATTAGCAAACCAGCGAACGAAAATAAGTAATTTCTAGTAGGATGGGCTTGCGCAGGAGAGGGGCAAGGCTACTTAAGAGCTTTCCATTTTCCAACAGCCGAACATGCGCGGGCAAGATGAAAAGTGAGTGACAACGGTAATCAAAGCTCAAGGACTGTTCTTACCTATCCGATTCCGAGCCCAAGTAAGGCTGCGTTTATACTTTGCGGCAGCGTAGCGTAGCGCTTCCAGCGTACGCCAGCGGCAGTGCCGAAGAGAGGATGCATATCGATCTAGCTTCACCAGCGTCACCAGCGGCACGCTGGCGTAGCGAGGGCACGGGAAGCATAGCTATCGATCTAGCTTCACCAGCGTTTCTCGAGCGTTTCTCCAGCGTTTCTCCAGCGGCACCAGCGTTTTGCTAGCGCTTGCAGCGGCAGGGAGTAGAGACTATGGGAGAGCTGGAGAGTACAAAACACATCGATTTCTCGTAGTGAAATGTGGCGCGTGTAGTCGCACCACATCACTGGACAATACGGCGTACTACCAAACGAATCCAATTACCGTGGATTGTGAGTGTGAAACTGGATGTTTTTGGGTCGTCTTCCGGGCCAGTGATTATAAGTGTGTGAAATCGATGTTTTTGGATCGTTTTCGTCAGCTCGGCACCGTTCCCACTTTGATGATGTATTTCGTTCATTTTTTGTGAATGCTGCTAGCGAAATTGCAATATTGTCCTTGTGCTTTTCTTGTTATTTATGTAATTTACGATTTGCGATTGAAAGACTGCGGCTATGGCGAGTAATTAGTAGGTGATCTCGGCTGTTTGGTCTGAAAAACACTCACGATGAGAAAGGTCGAACGTCTGGGATATCTGATCCTTGACTGTACACAAGCGTATCATATACATGTCGAGATGGGACAACGACGAAAACGAGGGATGTGTGGGTTGTTGTAAGAAAAAGTGTCCGGGATCAATAACCGAAGAGCACACAACCTCACATGGTATCGCATCTGGCAGAGTAAGCTAAAAACAGGTCGATGGGATTGAAAGATTCAGAAAAAAATAAACGAAATCCACCATCCAAGCCCACCAGTCCGCAATTTCAATCGTGTGATTACATATGACAAAAGTGAAAAAAGCAAGGACAATTTGCAATTTTCGCTAGTACAGCGATTTCAAGAAAAAAATGAACGAAAATCCACCATCTAAAGCCACAGTCCGCAATTTCAAATCAGGTGTTTACATAAACAAAAAGTGAAAAAAGCAAGGGCATTTTGCAATTTCGCTAAGAAAGATTCAGAAAAAAATTAACGAAACCCATCATCAAAGGGGAAGGGGCGAAGCAGGCCGAAGACCAAAAACATCAGTTTCAACCACTTGCAAATCACGGTATGATCGTTTGAGTACGGTTTGCCCAGTGATGTGGTGCGACTACACGCGCCACATTTCACTACGAGAAATCGATGTGTTTTGTACTCTCCAGCTCTCCCATAGTCTCTACTCCCTGCCGCTGCAAGCGCTAGCAAAACGCTGGTGCCCTGCCGCTGCAAGCGCTAGTGAAACGCTGGTGCCGCTGGAGAAACGCTCGAGAAACGCTGGTGAAGCTAGATCGATAGCTATGCTTCCCGTGCCCTCGCTACGCCAGCGTGCCGCTGGTGACGCTGGTGAAGCTAGATCGATATGCATCCTCTCTTCGGCACTGCCGCTGGCGTACGCTGGAAGCGCTACGCTACGCTGCGCTACGCTACGCTACGCTGCCGCAAAGTATAAACGCAGCCTAAGTTCAGTCAAACTAGGTACCCAATTCTTCAAGCACTGTCAAAACCAGATCCTTCGTCAAAGTGGTGAAGGTGAAAAGGACTGGTCTACAAACCTCTATAGAACTATTTCGTAAAAAGGTGGTAAAAATTTCTGAAAAATTGATACATCACTTCCAACTAACCTGTAGAAGCCCACGTCCATAAAACCATGGTAGGGTATAGCCACCAAGTCGTTTCACCCATGACTGGAAACGTCGCAAAGTCGACTCTTTGGGGTTAGGAACCTGGAAGGATGCGATGGTGTGATAAGGCGATAATCTCTAATATCCTGCCTTGGAAGACACGTCCGCGCTGGTCGTATGGGTGGAGAAATGGGCGGAGTTAGCAAGTCATAATCTCTTTATTGTTGGCTCGCTCTCCTCTTTACCGTCTTTGAAGGAGGGGGCCCAATGAAGCCTCTGAGTAGGTTGTCTCTCATCGCCCATACGATCAGCATAGGCCCCACTTCCCAATTATCAAGAAATTCTACCACAAACCTGTTTAAATATATCATTCTCGCCAAATGAATAGACTGGGACCAAATGAGCGCCAGTTTTCAGTGCCTCTCGTACGAATCCTTTACGTGACTTGAGGATGAGCTTATGTTCACCAGGATGTGCATCCAGCGCTTCTTCAGCACCACCTAAATTGAAGACGACCTTAGTCCACATCGTTAGAGGTTTCCAGAATTCTACTGCATAGTGCTATCCACTGTCTCAAGTGACTATTGCTGAAATCCATCACTTACCAACGACAATGACAACTGCACGACCAGTCTCAGGACCGTTGAGCACGTATTCGATGCTCTCTTTCGAAGCATCGATAAGGCCCAAAAGAAGAAGCAGCTCCCGTCGTATCATGATTTTGAAGTTCGATGCCAAAGTGCACACAGAGAAACGGATCCCTGGGAACTAAAATGACACAAATTCCAATGAGAAAATCAGCTTCACTTAATCTGGGAGAAGATGCTCACTAGCACCTGCCTTAAAGACAAATTGTACGCTCCAAATGCCGCGAAGGGCCAAAGTGCAGGGCAAAAAGCGAGACTGGTGGGTGGTGACCATGCCATCCATACTCCGCCTACGCTACTGCGTGGCTAGCCTCACATTTTACCATAGCCAAACGCTCTACCTGTCTGCACCATCTTACCCCTGGTTGTTGTCTACGCTGCATGCGTGTTTCGCTGCGGGACCTCGATCGACGCAAGTGCTGCATCTGGAGGGTAGTGGCACCTGGGTAGCATGACCGTCCAGCCCAGTTCCCGTGCATTTTGAGCAGTGAACGTGGCACGCAGCATAACAATGGACCCCACCTAGCACAAGGAAAGGACCGCCCTTGGAGTTAAGGGTATAGTTTGACTTTGAGTGTTTACTAGAACAACAGTTGCTCTGATACTAGAGTTTTTGTGGAAAATAGTTTCCTGGGATACTTCAAAATCATCTCACTTTATCGTATTTACCAGTGCCATTAGTGGCGAAGTTCGCGAATACAGCCATGGCAATAATTCCATGCGGATGACAGCCAATAAGATAATTCTGAAAGAAATAATGGCTTTTTCAGAGGATTGTAAAGAAACAAGCCAAGGCAAGCAGATAAATTGCCGGGAATTATTAGGTTGTCCCAAAACTTCGTAGAACTTTCGCACATTTTTTTTTCGAGTTTACTTTATTCCAGTGAGAAGCAGTTTTGATCAGCTGAGTATATGTCACCTTTCCTGGCAACTTGTTGCCAACCTCTATGCAATGACTGGTTGCCCTGCTTCCAGAAGCCTCTTGGTTATGTGCCCAAGAGCAGCCGTGTCATTCTTGAGGTACTATCAAGAATCGCCCCTATTTTTTTTTACCAAGAAGATGATGCCGCTGTGGGATTAGTTTAGATGGCGATCGGAAAGAGCTAAGTCAGGGCTACACGAAGACTGTGGTGGAATTCCCCAGCTAAGCTTCGGGATCTCGAGCAGTGTTTTCCAAATGTGTGACCGAGCTGTGGTGG